ACATCAAAGTACTTTTTAGTTGCAGATTTGGCAATACCTAGGACCTTATGTTCCTCCAGTTCGGGGGCGGTTTAAAAGGCAGCTGTTCGAAACATGAACGAAAATGACTGTAGGTGGCATACGTATGGTACAGTCGAAGGACGTGATTGGCTGGTAAGTTTATGTGAGAAATAGTTTAAGAAATTGCATGGAAGATGTTTTAAGTTTACATTGAAATAAAGGGCGTGGACCTGTGCGTTGGGATTGGGTGCTTTTTGTTTTCCGGTTGCAATGCACAGGCACGTTTGTATATACTAGTAATAATAAAGCACGGGTTGAGTCTGTCGGGTTCACCGTCACTGTGTTTTTACGAAAAGGTCCCTATTGTTTTGGGTATTCAACCCGCAGTCCTCGTGATAAGTCAATCGAACCACTACACATGAGAGAAAAGGAAAAAAAAAGACACCCTCACGAGTCACGAACCTGCCTCCCGATCCCATCTTCACCTCCATCTCGCCGCCGCCTCGCCCCTCCCCGCGCCGCTGCCTCCTGCCACGCCTTGCCCCTCCCCGCGCTGCCGCGTCCTGCCACGCCCAGCCCGGCGCCGCCGCGCGCCGCCGCCTCCTACCCCGTCGGCGCGCCTACTCTTACCCCAAGTGCCCCCATACCCGCGGCCTCCCACCGCCGGCAACAATCGATGATGCGGCTGATGACGGCTCCCCCTACCTACCACCGCTGGGATTCCTCCCCGTTGCTTCCACCTCAACAATGGTTACCACAACCCCGCCGGCTTCGCCACCAGCCACTCCTTCATCCACACAAATCATAGGAGACAGTTGCATGGGAGATCCTACGAGCATGGCCTCGACGGCACTGGCAGTGGAAGTACGCGGGTGATTGGCGCTTGGAAGGTCGCGGTTGAGGCATGAGGACGGCAGCAGCGGCAGTCAAAATCTTCATGAAGTTTTTCCGCTTACCCTCCCCCGGTCTGATTTCTCTCCAATCTTTGAATCCCCTCAGTTTGAACTAATGCCATGTATTTTCAGAACAATTAGTGAATCAATTGTTAGTTGAAAGATGGTTGATGCACCGAAAAAGATTGTATTGATTCAATCTAGAAAAGTCAAGATCACAATTGCAATTAAATATACATTTGTTGAGCCAAAAGTAGCAGTTACATATGCATTTGGTCAATCTTTTGGCCTCTCTCTTCATGCATTATGATTGCCATCTTGAGAAAAAAAATGGAAAAACATGTAAAGCTGTATGAGTTTTTTATGTTTGCAATTTTTAGTTTTGGGGGGAATTAATGGATCCACTCGGCTTGCCCTTGAATCCAACTGTTTTTAGTTTTTAGTGTCCAGGAAAAATTCTTGAGATGATGGAAACGAATTTCCCTCTCAAGAAAAGGTGGAATACGAATGGGATGGAAAGCTAGAGCTGGAGCAGGTTGGCCCTAGACACTCGCAAAATCATTTTCAACTTTACATGTTTTATTATCATTGTTATCAATTTTTGTTCTGGACCGTGGCTTTCTGAACATCCTTTGGTTAATCAGGTAGAGCATGGTGGAGGGTCTGCTTCTACCTCTCTAGCCTCTCGACTGGATCATATATGTTTTGCGGCTTCGCGGCTCCATTAATGGCAGTAGGGCGCTTGTGTCATCCATGTCTGATTCGTGCAACCATCATCTGTAGCATTTGCTGGAGCCATCATCCCAAACAGTTTCACTGATTCTCAGGTAAGCAATGTGATTTTTCCATGTGTTGACTCAATCTAGAAAAGTCAAGCTTACAAATGCTTTAAGGGATGGTTGATGGAATTGAATCACAGGAGTATTGGTCGTCCAGACCTTTTTAGGGACCTTCTAAGAGTTAGATTTGACATGAAATCAATTGTTTTCTACATTGTACTGTCATTGCTAGGGACCAAAAGGTATTCCATCACCGGGTTCATCAGATTGAAATCCTCTCTTTTTGTGTGGTTTAGTCAACTTGATTTTCCTGTATGGTACTGTTGGGGTCTAGATTGAAGTTATCTCAGCTATTGGGTGCCTCTGAAGATGCGTTTGTGTTAGATACATACATGCAAAGTTAGAGCATCTCCAGCTGTTGGCCCCCTAGGACGCATAAAAATCGCCCCCTGGGGGCGAGCCGGCGACACAATCGGCGCTGGGGGCGGTTTTGCGCCCAGTCGTCGCCCCCAGGCGCCGATATTGGCCCACTTTTCATCCCCCTTTCGGCGAATAAAGGGCCCATATGGGCGAGAATAGGCCCATATTCGGCGTGGTTCGCCGTGGCTCGTCGTTGAATTATGAACATAAATATTATTTTATCACATATTTAATCACAAAAAATCAAATAGTTCAACAAAATAGTACAACAACAAATAGTTCAATACAAATTATATAGTTCAACAAGTAAAAACTCATATTTCATCACACGTCGCGCCCGACGTCACCCTTGAGCCTCCATAGGTGCTCCACCAGATCATGTTGCAGCTCATGATGCACCTGTGGGTCACGGATCTCCTGACGCATACTGAGGTAGGCAGTCTAGGTTGCCGGTAGCTGGTGATCAACTTCGGCTAGAGGACCCTGCCTGTAATATGGTTCAGTGTTAAACACTGGGTCTTCTTGCTCGCTCTCGATGATCATGTTGTGCAAGATGACACAGCAAGTCATGATCTCCCACATTTGATCTTTCGACAGGGTCTAAGCGGGGTACCGGACAACAGCAAATCGAGATTGGAGCACACCAAATGCCCGCTCGACATCCTTCCTGCAAGCCTCCTGAATCTTCGCAAACCAGGCGTTCTTGCCTCCTGGCATGGGGTTTGAGATGGTCTTCACAAATGTCGACCATCTCGGATAGATGCCATCAGCTAGATAGTATCCCTTGTTGTAGTGCCGCCCATTGATCTCGAAGTTCACCGGAGGAGAATGACCTTCAACAGGCTTGGCAAAGACAGGAGAGCACTGCAGCACGTTGATGTCATTGTGAGTTCTTGGCATACCAAAGAAGGAGTGCCAAATCCAGAGGTCCTGTGTGGCCACCGCCTCAAGTACCACACTGCAACCGCCTTTGGCGCCTTTGTACATCCCCTGCTAAGCAAATGGGCAATTCTTCCATTTCCAATGCATGTAGTCGATGCTTCCAAGCATCCCAGGAAATCCTCTTGCTGCATTCTGTGCTAGGATCCGAGCAGTGTCTTCCGCATTGGGTGTTCTCAAGTATTGCGGTCCAAACACTGCCACCACTGCCCGACAGAACTTGTAGAAACACTTTATGCTGGTGGACTCGGCCATGCGCCCATAGTCGTCGAGTGAATCACTGGGAGCTCCGTATGCAAGCATCCTCATCGCTGTCGTGCACTTCTGGATCGAGGTGAATCCAAGTTTACCGGTGCAATCCATCTTGCACTTGAAGTAGTTGTCGAACTCCCGGATGGAATTCACAATCTTGAGGAAGAGCTTTCGGCTCATCCGATAACGGCGCCGAAATGTTTTGTCGCCGTGAAGTGGAGCATCGGCGAAGTAGTTGGAGTAGAGCATGCAGTAGCCTTCGAGACGATGCCGGTTCTTTGCTTTCACCCGCCACGGTGCCGAGCCACCTCGCCGCGGCTTTTCATTGCTCGCCAGCAGCTGGGCGAGGGCAGCGAGCATCATGAGATGCTCTTCTTCCTGGACGTCGGCCTCGGCTTCCTCCTCCGGCAGCGCGGCGAGCACTTCCTCGTCATCCGAGTCCATCACCGAGGCAGGCAAATCGCCAAACACCTTGCGCCCGGTGGGCGTGCAC